CTGGGCTACTGTAGAAGCATGACAGTTCAATATGGCCGACTCAATGGGAAGTGACCGTTGCGTCTGTAGATAAAAACGGCTGGACTGGAAGTGTTGGGTCTCTAAATTCATTCAATTCAATTAAAATTTATTTGTATAGCGCCAATTCATAACAAAAGTTATCTCAGGCCACTTTTCAAATAAAGCAGGTCTAGACCGTACTGAATTGAACTGGACCTTTAAACACACATCTTTGAGCTTCATCATGGTTTGCAAAATATAGAAAAATAGGAACAACTCTAATGGGATGATTTTTTCCTTTTGTCTGCTGTATATGGTTATAGGCAACTGACATGTTTGCCATAGCAACTTTATCAGAAGATACTGACGGTAGGACTTAGGACCCCCCCCCGCCCCAGTGTCTGAAATGAATTGATGCAGCTTTAATATTATCATTTATTTCTGTTTCTCCCGCAGAAAGGCGTGGTGTTGGTCCACTGCAATGCTGGCGTGTCACGGGCGCCGGCAGTGGTCATTGGTTACCTGATGTCATGTGATGGCCAGTCCTTTGATGCTGCCCTCTCATTGGTCAAATCAGCTCGGCCAGTCTCATCCCCAAACCCTGGCTTCCTGGAACAGCTGAGGAAGTACAAAACGCAGATGATGAATGGATCCAAACACTAAAACAGGCAGGGTGGTTAAACAGTTTAAGAACAGATAAATCTGATGTTAAGGATTTAATGATCAAGAATAATTGGACCAGACGATACTACACACCACTTACACTCTTTAAAATGGTTTGACATAAGATACCAAATGTTCTAAATGTAAGGATGAATCTGTTAAAATCAAAAAAATTATCTTCCCTCTAGCGATATCTATTATATTTGGGATTATTTGTCTACATTTTGAGACAAATTAGTCTGTAGTTACTGTCTGTAGACAATATTCCAGTCAAATCACCATTGACATTAGAAGATGTGAAAAATATTATCTCATCATGTTCGTAATTAATACCCAAATTATTTAGCTATGTCTAAATGTATGGGATTATCAACCAAAATTCCTGAAATTAGGTGTTCAGTAGCTTTTTAACCTAGTTACATCATGGCATTGTGATATGAACAATAGGAAACACATTAGGATGGAACATTGTCAGGAGTTTAGATCCTCCTGAAGACATTTCAGTATGTTATAAAGAGTCATTATTAACTTCAAAAGACATTTTCTTGTTTGCGTGTTACTATAGATGATGACCTCTTTGTGTTTTGGTGCTTTTGTTCTCTTAGTCATCTCTGTGTTTTGTTATGTTGGATTAATATCTGTGGGGGTAATTCATCCTCTGCATTTGACCTTCACCAATTCATCCTCACTGTTTTGGAGCAGTGGACAGCCACAACCTCTAGAATGTTATATTTCTAAACATAAAAATTAATAAAAACTTAAATGACAAAAGCAGAAACAGCTCACTGTTATTACTGTGAGTATTAAACCATCTGGTAAGTACTTATATACACCGATCAGCAGCCCCATACCAACAGACTGCTCTGCACTGTGTGTTCT